CAACCTCTATAATGCGCGATCGTCATTCTCAATTTCTAAGCCATATCGTCGATCGTCGTTTCCCCGTAACAATATAATGTATTGCAAAACTTTTTGGATTTTTTTTTTATAAAAAAGATATAATAATATTGTTATTATTAATCAATTTATAGATTTATTTTATTTAAATATACAAAGTTATAAAATTTATAAAATTCTAATAATTCTAATGAAATTTTTATATATGATCAATTTTTAATACTTAAAAATTTCAATTTTAAAATTTTTTATATAAAATTTATATTATTATAATTTTTAGATTTTAAGTTTTATTTTATATTTTATTTATTAATTTTTATGCAATAGTTTTTAAATAACAAATAAATAAAAAATTTCAAAAAGTTTTATAACATATTATAAATACAAATTATTAATATAAAATTAAGAATATTTTTAGTAAACTTTTTTTTTTGAAAAGAACAAATGGCTATCATGCTTTATTAGGACTCCGAAAAAGTACTGAACTGATATCGAACTGGTATCGAAATAGTACCGATCTATAGTAAATTTAATATATGGGTTGTGACCTACTCATATGTTTTTATAGTAAATTTAAATATCGAACTGATATCAAAGTGATATTGAAATGGTATCATAGGAGCCCTACGCTTTATTTTATTTATTATACTTTTACTTGCAAAACAAGATATAATATCAATAACATAATATATGTCTATCTTTGCTAGAAAGAGTTTAACGCAAGACTTCAAAATAGATTCAACTCCTATATTTTTTTGGTACCATTCAAGAAATACAGAAAAAAAGAAATTCAAAAATCTATATTATTGTCTTGAATAGCCTCTAACTACCTAGAAATAAATAAATACCTAATCACATAAAAGCACTGCAGTCAATTTATACAAGTTGATCTCCAAGTCATAATTAGGATTGGCACATTTGCTTTCCAAATATAGCTTGATATATGGCAAGTGGAGTAGTATTGGAGGTGATGAGAAGTGTGTATCTTTTTGTATAAAGGTACTGCAGCCACTTTATACAAGTTTGCCTCCAAGTTACAAAAAGAATTTGGTATATCTATGCTTAAAGTGTAGTGAAAGTGTCCTATAGGTAAAGATGAATTTCTAAATTAAAGATAAGGATATAATTCAAATGTCCCTTATTATTAAAAAAGTTTTTTTTTAAATATAAGGTCAAAAAAAAATTACCTATAAAGGTTTTTTGTAATTTAGGCCACTTGATCCAAATGTTTTTTGAATTATGTCTCTATTAAAGTAATAAATAAATAATTATGTTCCTTTAAAGGGGACATAATTGATCTGTGAAATTTATATGTTAAATAGTTTAGGGACCCATCCTTACCTATAGGTAAAGATAGATTTCTAAATTAAAGGCAAGAACATAATTCAAATATTTCTCATTATTAAAAAAAAACTATCTAGAAAGATTTTTTACAATTTAGGCCATTTGATTCAAATGTTATTTAAATTATATTCCTATTAAAATAATGAATAAATAATTATGTCCTTTCAAAAAGGATATAATTGATCTGCAAAATTTTATATGCTAAATAATTTAGGGACCCATCCTTATCTATAGATAGAGTTCTTATTGGTTTTTTTAATGACACCAGAACCTAACCTTATACAATAGACTATACATGTAGTATAAATTATTTGCTGTTGACTCAATTTCCAAAATCCTCAAAAATAATTGTGTTATGACTCAATTATTTATATATTTTAATAATATCTCAAATAATTGCGTCAAATAATTGTATCAATTGCATCAAGGATCTATGAATTTCAGCAACATGTATACAATAGACCTACATTGTTTGAGAAATAAACAAGGAACTTCTGTTGTTATATTAGTTTGTTTTTGGAAATAATTAGAATCTCTGGTCATCACGTATTACTTTATTAAGTTTCCTAATTACTAGCAAGACATTTGCAACTAACCTAGCTTATTGCTAGTTGCATTGATATTGACTGCCATTTTATTTTGAATACTGTAGGATACAACTTCTTGGATACTTTCAAATAATAATAGTTGTACAGAGGTTTTTTGGATATATCTAGTCTAATCATTAATCAGTAAACAATATCAAGTTTGGTAATAATAACCATATAGATCTTTTGAAGGGGTAAACTATTAGTTTTTTTACTAAAGAATCATGGAAGAGAGAAAATTTCTTGAAGCCCATGTCCTAAGAAAGGTTACTACTTCTTAATACAGTCCTTAAAAGAAAGAAGTCAGTTGGCCAGAGAAGTGATGTTATGGAAACAGAGTTTTTAAAAAAGAGAGAAAGATCTAGAGAGGGAAATCTTCAGGAAAAAAAGAAAAAATAAAAAGAGGAAGGGAAGAGGTATAAGATAAAAAAAGTATATAGAAGAAAGAGGAGAAGATAGGGAAAGAAAAATAAAAGATATGGGAAAGGAAGTATAAAAAGAGGAGAAAGAAAAAAATGAAAAAAAAGTAAACAACTCAAAAATTTCCTAAAAAAGAAATTTTCAAGTATAGAAGAGAAAGTGGGAAAGTGTTTTTTTTTTTATTATTTTTAGTAAACTTAATTTTGATAAAAAGTTAATTTGATAAAATTTTTTATTAAATTTAATAATTAAGCTCAGTTCAAATAATATTTTAAATTTATAAGTTATAGATTTATTAAAAAAAAGTACAAAGAATTAATATAATAGTTTATGAACTTGAAATTAATCTTTTAATTTATTATTATTATTATTATTGAAAAAAAATTTTTTTAATATCTTGATTTTATTAAAATGATATTTTTTTAATATATTTTTTTTAAATAAAAGTTTTTATATTTGATTTTATAAGTTTTTTTTATTTTTATTTATAAAATTTTTAGTTAATAATATTATTAAAAAAAATAGATTGCTTTATTTTAAAGATTTTAATAAGGATTATTTGTTTTTATAAATTTTAATTTTACTATATTGATTTCTAGTTAAACAATATATTTTTAAAATTAAAAATATTAAAAAGATAAATACAATATATTTATATTTAATTTAATGTTTTATTGGTAATTTGATATTAAAAAGATATATTAAACCTTATTTACCATGAAAAATAAAACTTTGTAAAAATATATGTTTTTAAATTAATTTTATAAACTTCTGTTCATTTTCCATTGAACTTTTTTTCGATTATACTGTATAAGTACATAAAAATCAATAAATTAAAAATTTAGATTTAAGCTATAAAAAATAAATAAATACTAAAATTAAATTAAAAAATATTATTATTATTTCGAATAAAAAATATAAAAAAATAAAATTACAGTATATGAAAATTTGGTATTTTATTATTATAAAGATGTACTGTAAATTCAAACCTATATAAAATCAATTCAAATAATTATTAAAGAAAATGATTTCTTGACAATTCTGACGCGAAATGCAGTCCTATTTTATGATATCAAAGGTGTAATTAACATTCAAATTCTTGCTGCATTTTTGGTTACATGGATCAATAAGGAAAAAAATCGAAACGTAAAAGAAGTTCTTTAAAAAGTTTATTTCGGATTATTGGTTTAAAAATAAATTACAAGACAGAGTCAAATCTTGTGCTATTTAATCTATAAATGCAGATTTGACAAGGATATCATGATGTTAAATAGATTCTATTGTAGTCATGTAGACAATAAATTAATTTGTTTAATTACAAAATTTTGCTATTAAGTAACCTCCAAATCCTACTAACACAACACCAATCGTTCCCTAGAATGTATGGAAAATTTAAATTAAATTAGTAAATAAATTCCACAACTACAATTATATATATATATCTTATTATCAAACGATTGTTAAATGATTGATTTTCGATATTCGTTTTTATAAAAAGAAACTTCCTATCAGCTCCCATATTATTATAATTATTATTACCTTGACAATAAACTTTTTATATTCTTTTTCATCTGCCTTTTCATTTGAAGCTATGGTAATATCTTTTATATTATTTTCAACGCCCCACTCATTATCAGTCCATTCTGAATCTTTGACAGTTGACTCTTGCTTCTTATGTTGATTAAGTGGTCTGAATCGGATATTATTAGAACCTTTTACGGAAGGACCATCAACGTTATCCAAATTCTCGTAAGTTTCGATCTCTTCTTGTTTTTCCTTTCTCCACAGTTCAAATTCCGTTTTTATCTCAATATTTTCTATCTTTATCCTTTCATTTTCTGTCAAAGCTTTTTCGAGTCTACTATTGAGACACTCATTTTCATTTGTTATCAATGATATTGTTTCTTGGGCTGCACTTAGTTGCTTTTTCACCGTGTCCAAAGCATTTAGTGTTTCCTTTCTAAATTGCGCAAACTGATTCGCAAAATCTAATCTTTCTTCCTGAAGAACACCAATTTGATTATCTTTGTTTGCAATCAGGGATGCATGCTCTGTATTGATTCTGTTAACAAGAGATTCTTGGTCGGTAAACATCTTCTCATATTTTGTTTTTAACTCCAAGAGCTCAGCAAAAATATTTGCGTGTTGAATTTCTCCGAAATTGAAGTTCTGATTCGAATCCAAAGGATTTACAGAAATGGATCGTGCTTTTTCATAATTTTCTTGTGTATGTTTGAAATTTTCAGCATCGGCCCCATATAAAGCACGAATTTTTCCAAGTTCTTCGTGAGCATTATTCAATTGATTGATCATATTGTAGGTTTGCTGGTTTAGTTCTTGAATTTTTGTTTCATGCACATGTTTCATATTTTCTAATTCGCCGCGTGTAAATTCTAGCTGTGAAGCCATTTCTGTTACTTGACGACGTAATCCCTCCTCATTGTTGGAGCGAGCCATGTGTTCCTCGGTCAATTGTTCTTCTGTATGAGCTAATTTGCTTGATAATTCTTTAATCTGATGATCCACACCAAAAGCTTCCTCAGTGTCATTTGACATTGTTAGCTTTGAATTTTCCTGTACATTCTTCACATTTGACTGATGCTTTTGCTGTCTCGCATTCTTTTCAATTTCGCATTTTTCCAAATGTTCATTAATTTTAGCCTGAGTTTCTTCAATCTTTCGGAAAAGTGCCAAATTTTCGTCTGAATATAGCTTTATTAAAGAGAATTAGTTAATTGAATCATTGAAATCCCGATATATTGATAGAATATATAAGAAATATAGTTACTTTGTTACTTTTGTTTTCAACATATTTGCTCATATCACCAATAATATTATTTAGTTCTACCAAGCGACGGCTTTCATCGCGAGCCCAATGCAACTCAGACTACAAAAATTTCCGGTGGAAATATGATTAACGTATGATTCTAATAAAAGTGAAATATGACAAATCTGTTTACCTCCAAGGTAGCGTATATGGAACTTTCGGGATCAAATATTCGTTTGTGGATGGACTATGTATACCAAAAATAATTTTAATTATAGTATATTTGACGTTAAAATATAGAAGATCGTGTTTGAAGCAATTTACCTCACCTCTGCATAAACGTGTAAAATTAAGATATTTGAATTTAGATAATTGCTTTTAAATTTGATAAACTCAAAATGTTAAACATCTATATTGGTGATACATACTTAAAGCTATGTCCATTTGAAGTATCAAAGTTTGACGAAGATATATGCACCCTTGCGGTCACCTTACTGAACATTAACTTACGATCTTCATTATTGATATCAATTCCAAACTCCTACATACAGAACAGCTAAGTAAATAAATATTATATTTTACGAAGAAATAATTGTATATGTTAATTAGTAATAGTTAATACATATGTTACTTACCAGTATATCATAGTTATTTAGTTCCACTGCTTCACTTTCCTTACTTTCCGCACTTATACGCCTGCCATTGACAAAAGTACCGTTGCTAGATCTCAAATCTTTGATATAAACCTGAAAATATCAACGCATATTTAACAGAAGATATATAAACGTTCTCCCTTCAAAGATAAACTCAAATTTACTTTTCCGTTTTCAGTCCAAACTTCGGCATGAGTTCTAGAAAGAACTTTACTATCGAAATATCCATTTGTTTCTGTCGGCGCAGTATTTTTATTGGTCGTTCTTCCTATTTTAACTGATACACCTTCGGTAAGATCTATCTTCTTGGTTTGAAATGCATCATTTGAGGATTCCAAGACGAGAGTTATGTTTGAGGTATTTGGTGGAGAATTCAACACAGGAGAAGAGTATGGGGACTGGTTAAAATTTTGTGACCTCAGTGAGGATCGTTTGCTTCCAGAATACCTGTGGGAACCTATAGAGAAGGGTGTAATGGTAAATTAATGATTATTTTAAGATTTATGAGTCATCCTAAAATATAAAATATACCAGAATGTTCCGCGAGGGAAGGAATGGACGACTGGACAAGCGCATCCATTAAAAATTAAAATGCTATAATTCTATACTAAGGATTGGTTTTACTGTTGTTCATAAAAATTGCGAACAACGGAACGCAAATATATATATATATATTTTTTAAATTAGATTCTAAAGACGTATCTATCTACAAGGAAATAATGCTTCATTAATTACCGATAAACTTGCATTTATAAACAAACCCATTGGCTTGTGAATCTGAAATTCGAAATTCGATGTATCATGCAACCACAAAAAAAATTAACCTTTGCAGGTCAGGAATGTATGTACGTCGATCACAAAAAACAGGGGTGTAATTTTACAAATATAGAAGGACTCGCATCAATTATTTATTACCATGTGTAGTACTCGACGAAATTATTACAAAATTAGAGTTTTTATGGCTTTAATTTGTATAACAAATTGTATTAATATAAGAATTCATTTTTTTTATTTATGTATTGCAAATTAATAATTAATCTGTCATGTGATAACATTTTTATATGAAATTAATTATTTTTAAAGATTATTTATTATATTATTTTTATTTTAAAAAAGTAAAAGGTATCAATATACTTGTATTTTTATTAATTACATGTATATAATTATTTATTTAATATATATAATATTTATAAATGTATTTAATTAAATTAAATATTATTTTTATATAAAATAAACTTGTATATCTAAATAAATTTATTATTAAAAAGTAAAAATCTTATTATTAATTTTAATTATTTAATTTAAAATTGTTATTATATTATTATATAATTTATATAATATAAAATAATATAATAATAATTAAAAAAAATTTTTTTTTAATATTTATATTATATAATAAAATAAATATAATAGAAATTAAAAATATTTTATATTAAAAAAATTCTGTATTTAAAATTATTAAAATATATATATATTTTATATTAATTTTAAATATATTAATTTATAGTCAAGTTTTATTTTATAAATTTTAATAATTTTTATAAATTTTAAAATTAAATTTTTTATTTTTTTTTTCAATATTTATAAATTATATATACTGTATATAGTTTGTCTAGAAAGTCTTTGAACAAATTTTCAATTTATATTTTTACTTACAATTCAATAAATAATTAATAAAATAAAAAAAAAATTTAAATATATATTAATAAGAATATAAAAAACAAATTTACTTAAATTAATTAAATTATAATAAATAAATAATAAATTATTTATAATAATTTTAATTTATCAAATTATAAAATAAGAATAAAATTAATTAAAAAAGAACTTTTATTAAATTTTAATACAAAATACAAATTTTTTTCAAAATTTATATTAAAATTAAAAATTAAAAATTTTTATAAAATTAATTTGTCAAAAAAACTCTTTTCCACTCCCCTTTTTACACTTGAAAATTTCCTTTTTAGAAAATTTTTGAGTTGTTTACTTTTTTTTTCGTCTTCCCTTTTCCCTTCTCTCTATGTCCCTTCCCCATATCTCTTTATCTCTCTTCCCCTATTCTTTCCCTTCTCTTCTATATACTTTTTTCTTTTATACCTCTCCCTTCCTTTTTTCCCCTTTTTTGCTCCTGCTGAAGCTAGGTTTTTCCCTTCTCCCTGAAGGTTTTCCTTCCTAGGCCTCTCTCTCTTTTGAAAACTTCGCCTCTATAACATCACTCCTCTGGCCAGTGGACACTTTTCTCTCAGGAACCATATAAGAAGTGGCAAGGTTTTCACAGGACGTGGGCTATGGAA